TAGAATTTTTATTTTTATAGTAAAATTTTAGTTATTATCAATGTATAAAAGTATTATATTATTAATTAGGAAATTAATTTTTGTGTTATTTTGTTAAAAAAAAATATTTGAACTTTTAGTAATTTTTTGTTATACTTTTTCTCAACTGATTTTTGTTTAACTAAAAATAAAATTTAAATCTATTTTTTTCAGCATATTTGGTATCTATTTTATTGATTAATTTTAATAACCAAATATGTCATATTAAGTATTTTATAGTATTTAAATGAAAAAAATTAAAAATTTAATTTTACCAAATTTTCTATTTTATTTAATTCATAGAGTAATTCTGTTTTATTATAATATATACTATAATATGAAAATTATAAAAATATGATAGAACTTTTATTTCTGTTTTATAATAAATTTTTAATTAATATATAATAGCATTATATTATTAATTACGATAATATTGTGTTATTTTATAAAACAAATATTTGATTTTTTAGTAAGATTTTCTTAGATTTTTTCTCAACTGATTTTGTTATAACTTAAATAAAATTTAAATCAGATATGTTTGGTATATATTTGATTGATTAATGTAAAAAATTAAATATGTCATATTGAGTAATTAATGAGATGGTTCTACCTAGACATGTTTATCGTAGATAAAAAAAGTGACTCTATTTCAATAGAGTAGATAGATAACTATTTAAAAATATTAAAATGCTCAAAAATTATCTAAATATTTTTAATCAACCCAAAATGATAAGCGAAAACATGTTTATAAAAACGAACCGATTGTGGATAAGTTGCTATTTTAGATTAAAAGAAACATGTGTTCTAGAGCTGTATGGTTTTTCCCTAGCATAATGACATCAAAAGAACTGACCAAGGTCGAACCTAAACCATATGCAACATAGATTTTTTTCTGCAAAAGAATTTACGCAATCAGTCTTCAATTTCAAAGGATAAGAACATCTTTTAAATGAGTATAATCTTGAAAAGTATTTCATTTGTTGAGTTAATTCAGACTTTTGTTCCAAATATTAAAGGTAATTTTGAAAAATAAGACATAACATGAAAATTAATCTTTGAATTTGAAGTTTGTGGTGTTCTAATAATGATTTGGAAGGGAGTATAAAGTAGGATATTTGCAAATAGACTACATTTTAACATTTTAAACTAATGATTTGATTAATAATTATATAAAGAAAATAGTCGAAAAAATAGAAAAAAATGAATCGAATATGAGAAAGAATGCAAAAATGGAAACAAGTTTGAAAAAATCATTGATAACAAATTTATTATTCTTAAAAGTTTATAATAGTTGTTTTTTTTAAATGTCAAATTATTAACATATAAATGGCAGCCACCTTTTTACCTACTTCTTTGGATCTGATCTTTTAAGCTTACATTTTCCTTGTTTCGGCAAGATTTAAGATTTACATTTTCATTGACACTAAAAAAGTAACTGAAGTTAGGAGTTTTCAAGGTTCATAAGACACATGTTGTAGTATAAATGATTGTTGAACCAATTATAAAAGATTTCAAAGCACTGAAAATCTAAGTGCGATCAAATAATCAGATGATTTTAAATTATGACTACTACTAGAGTGAAATAACAGAATAAGAAAAACAATAATTAAAATAACTTCTTTTGATTAAGAGAAGGGAGAATTCATGGGAGTAGAGATTAGACCTTGAGTGATCAAACTTCAAACTAAGGATGGCAAATGATCAATTAAACTATCAACCTTAAGCCTAGATACATCTCTAATCAAGCTCTATATCTCGATGAATGTTCATTTACTATAACATAACTCAAACATCAAATATCTTCGGTTGAATGTTATAGTAGTAATCTTTAAGAACAAGTCTATTAGCCATCTTAACACTTTTAACAACAAATGTCTTTGGTAAAGTATGTTAAAAGCTTAGGAGAGTTGGCTCAGACATTTCATTGAACACCTTGTGGGTGAGAAATGCCTAAAGCTCAACCTGGTGTCGAATCTCTCTCTCCCGAATATACAGAAGCTGGAGTTGATCTGTAGGCTTCTACGAAACTGGAAACATTAATCAACTACCGTTGTCTAAATATATAAGAAAATCTTAACAGCAAATAGGGTCTAATAATATTTACTAATAATCTAATATAAAAATCCCATATGTAAAAAAAACATATGAGTGTACTCAAGGATTTGTTCAATATATTTTTGTATATAGTATTCCTTCAAGACTACAATTCTTCTTTAATCTTATTCTCTGCATATTCTTCTATTCAAGTCATTTGAAAACTATCAATTACAGTACTACTTTGAAAGAAATCGTTTCAGTTAATAACACTTGGTACATCAATTGATATGTTAGCTGCACGTAATCAGTCTACATCAACTTACAAACCACCGAATTCGTACATTAAATAAAAAATGCACACTACAACTTAGACAAAGCATTTTTCGAGGTTACTTCCAATGGATGTGGACACAACAAAACATTGATTTCTGTCCTTAAGACTATAACAGTATTTAAAAGTTAAGGAACATTGAACTATTCTTGATGAAAATAAACTAGGAACAAGTTCTTTATAAAGATTAAACTCATTGATTCTCACTAAATTTTCTTTCCATTTTTAGGTTAATAAAATCAAACTTAGAAAAATTAACAAAGAATGATTAGTAAATAATCAAGCAAATAGGTTTAAAATTAATTTGAAAAAATAATAATAAGATACAATAATTAAAATAATAACTAATATAACTTGAGTTTGATAAAAAATTTAGTCAACAAAATTTTTTTAGTGAAAATACATTATCTCATTCTAAAAAAAAAATATAGACTTTAATATATAGTAAAATTTTGTTAAGAAAAACCAAAAAAAAAATTCATTTACGATATCACTATTTCAAGATCCTCAAACCCAGACCAACAAAGATAAAAAGAAATAAATCTCACGAATATTTTTTATATAATTACTAAACTCAACCTAGAAAACTTAACATGAAAATAATAGAAAATATCAACGATTGATTAATAAATATAAAAATATTATGTTTTAAAAAGCAACAATATTTCATGAAAGAAAAGTTAAAAAAATATACTACAAACGATATTAATTAGATCACAAATAAAATATATCTGCCCGTAGGACGGAGTGATCCTAGTATTGTCATATTTTGGTTTGCCTAAAGGAAAGAACACATTTATGTTAATATTATTTTCCGATGCATAGCATCGGACATAATACTAGTCTATACTATTATTTATGAAGTGCATTTGCTTTTGTTATATTCTCCATGATTTTAGTTAAATTTTAATTATTTGTCATATTTTTAGAATTTTGAGTAAATATTAATTACTACATTTAATAAATAATTAAATTTACTTTTAATATATTACTAAGCATAAACTAAAAAAAATCTATAATTAAAACATAAATTTAGAAACAATTTTCTTTGATTAGATGACTACCATTATCTAAAACTAATTTGTATTAATTAACCATTAACTAAATTCAGAATAAATATAATTAACCATAAATTAAAAATGAATGATTTAAAAATTATCACTATCTAAAATAATTTATATTAGGTTATAAATTATTTATTAACCTTAATGAATAATTACATGTTAATATATAAATCAACCAAAATTAAAAGCAAATTTCATTGATTTGATAATAATCATTGTATAAAAATAGTTTATGTTGTGTTATACAAAGTAAATTTGATTAGTTATCATATTCTCCATGATTTTAGATAATTTTACTTATTTAATCATATTTTAGGATTTTGACTAATGATTAATTAATATACTTAATAAATAATTAGATTTATTAATATATTATTAACCATACACTTAAAACGAAATAATATGTAACTATCCATATATTAGAAACCAATCTTTTATTAGATGATTATCATTATCTTAAAATAGTTTGTGTTAATTATCCTTAAACTAAAATTAAATTAAGATATAATTAACCATAAATTAAAAACATTTTTTTTAATTTGCTAATTATCAATATCTAAAATAATATATGTTATGTTATAAAGTCATTATTAACATTAATTAATAATTATATGTAATAATTATATATTTTTAATATATATTTAGCCAACCTTTTTTAAAAAAAAATCAGAAATTTTATAATTATCAATGTATAGAAATATTTTATGTTGTGCTACTCAAATATATTTTACCTTTTTAGAAATATTTTTAAATTATAAAATCTTACTCCCTATATATATGTTGTATATAATAAGTTTTCAGATTTCTTTTACGAAAGAAAAGATAATTTTATTATATGGAAAAAGGTTCATGTGAAAATAGTTTAATATTTAATTTATTTCAATATTTTGTTTTTAAGTTTATTTACATGATAGAAAAATATTTATATTATGATACAAAATTGTATACATATAAAAATTTTATTGTTTAATTTTTATTAAATATTATGAATGTATAAATAATAATTTATTTCAGTTGTTGTTGAACTGATAATATATTTATTTTAAAATTCTTATATCCGCACATGCGGGCAAAACACTTAGTAATACATAACGCATAAGTAATTGCTGACGAATGAAAAAGAAACTTAGCTACTTTTATGCTAACGATTACTTCTCACTAATCTATATTTTTTACAAGGTTCGATTGCTTCAGTTACTATGTTACAGCATCAGTTTTGCTTTCGTCACAACGACGATGGCTTTAATAATATCAAATTAATAATTTAAATTATACACCGATAACACTATTATGTGTAATTTGGAGTATAAATACATCTAGGTGTTCTATAGAATGGTTAAAGCCTTGACAAATCTTAACGACAGTCTTTCTCAGATAGAACAAATTTGCACCGCCATACATAAATTCACATTTCTTCTTTCTATTGAAAAGACCAAGGGTAATTGAAAGCATAGATTCTTTAAATGATTGTTAAGGGGCGACAAATTAAATTGGAAGTGTTTTAGAAATTCTTTACTTGTGTAAGTTGTACGTAATATAGGCACTTGTAAGTTACGTGTGACATAAGAACAAAGCCTGAAAGAACGTTATATTACTTTAATGCATGGATATTTAGTATTCGAGTCATTACATAAGAATAATCTCTTAATTCATACTATCAAGTATGTACAAGATTGTAAAATGGCTAAACTTTGGTGCCAGCTAAATTCCAAACACGCAGCTTCCCACTCTTGTCTCCAGTGAATAACAACCCTTCAGGACCAACTGTGATTGCACCGACCGTGTTCGTAGAGAACATCTTTCCCCTCTCTTCAAAACTGTTGCATAGCCCAAAAAAAAGAACAAAAAAAATGAGTACCAATGATCAAGGCTAGAGTATCAATGATAACTAGAGAGACACTAAGACTAATCTCCACTTACGATGGTAAATCGCATATGCTGACAATTCCGTTTTGGTAAGAACAAAACACGATCGGTTTGCCCTCTGCATCGCTCATCCCACAGAGAGTATGCACACTCTGTTTCAAACCACAAAGAAAGAAAACATTAAGAAACGGTTTTAATTAAAACTAAGCGTGGAGTGGTTCATTGTTATGACAAGTTTGTAAGGAGGTATGTATACAAAACTTACTTGTTCTTGTCTGCGTGTATTTGTGACTTTTAAGCTGCCGTTTTCAGAACACGCCCAGACTTTGATGGTCCCATCCAAAGAAGCAGATATGAGATACTGATCCCAACATAGGAGCGACGTGACAGTGTCGGTATGTTGCCTCAGTGTCATTGTACATTCCAGTGTACTGAGATCCCACACCTTTATTGTTTTATCAGCAGAACCAGAGTATAGTCGCTGACCTCCAACTATAAAGCATGTGACTTCACCAGTATTATCTCCCTCCAGAGATGTGAGGTATGTGAAAGGATCAGACTCAGAGTCCGTTGCTTTCCAAACAGATATGGTACCAGACTGCACAGAAGAAGCAACTTACTTTAGAACCAACAATGAAGCAGATAACTAAAGTAGAAAGCAAGAGAGGAAAAACTACAACACTTACACTTGTCCCAGCAAAAAGCATTCCATTGGCAACAGTCATAGCACGGACCTGACCAACCACACCGTTAAGATGCAAATCTTTACTGGTTTGAACGTTAAAAGCCTGCAAAGTTGTACATAAACAAAAACAATGAGACCAGAACCAAAGCCAACAAAAAAAATCCCACTCAATTCAAGAGTATAGAGACGTATACGAGTTAAGAGATTTCTTAAGCTAACCTTTACAGCATTTGGCAAGCCAAGGAAAACCCATGATCCTTCACTCATTAACGACCCTGCTTCTGCCTGGAGGTTGATTGTATGAACACACTGGCCAGTGTGGCAGTCCCATATTCGCAATGTACCATCGCTACTGGCTGAAAAGAGCTTATCTGAACCCTGAGGAAGTGCAATCCCCTTGAGATCCTATAGGAAACAACAAGTTACAAAAAAAAGAAAGCGTTATCAATTTATTATTTATAGCCAATAGTCAAGAGTAAAAAGAAAGTTTAAAAAAGGAAACGAACCTTCTTGTGTCCATCAAGAGAAGCTACCATGACCATTCCAGGGAGGCTAGTCCAAGAGTGCAAGAAAGAGCATTGATCACCCTTCTTGCAGTTTCCATCTTTCCAAAACTTACACAGACATTCCTTAGACTTGGGACTGCCTTTATCATAAGACCCCCAACCTCTACTGTCTGAAACAGACGAGCATCGTTTCCCATACGCAGCACTCCTCCTCTGCTGGTTTGACACACTAGTTCCTAACTCTGAGGGTTGTGTTTTAGTTGACCCGTAGGTGTTATCATTCTTCCTTGGCATGTTGCCATCTGATGCAGTCCAAACCAGATTCCTAGACCACTTATTAGGACCCTTGTTTGCATAAGGAGCATAAGGTCTTCTGGGAACTATATCAGCTACAGAATCTTGCTGTCTTGCCACTCCGAAGTTCCTTCCGTTAGAGAATCTCCTTGGCGCCTTGTAACTCATACTATAAAACACACATTTGAGAAAAACACTAACTTTAGCAGACTGCGACCACAGATCCAATAGCTGTTGATGCTTCATCCATGATGATCCACAGAAGAGTATAACACGCTTCCCAAGGAGAGTAAGATGACTGATAATCAAACACCTCCAAGCCCATGCTAACACTCCAAGTACCGTAGAGAGCACCAAGTCCGCCAAATCAAAAACAAATCCAAATAAACCTAATCTTCATTCCTAACCCTAACCCTAACCATAATCTAAAGCCATAGATGATCGATCTTCACATGATTCGCGAGCGTATATACAAAACCCTAACTATATACAAAAACAACCAAGAAGATCGATTTGATTCCATCATCCTTCAATCGGGCGAAACCCTAGCTTTTTGGGAATAATCGATGCGAATAGGAGGACGAAGCGCGGAAACCGAAATTGAAAGCACGAAGAAGAAGTCATCGTAGTCGAAGAAGATGCAAACCTGAGAGATCAAACGAACGAATGATCTAGATCTTCGATTTTCTAGTCTAGAGGGAGCAAAACAGATGATTTTTTATTACGCGGAGAATAAAAAGCAGAGAGGTGAATGAATTAGTTCTTCCTCAAGAGATATATTTATAGATGGATGTGGAGGTTCATTGGTTTCTTAATTGGGCCCACTCAAGGCCCATAATTACAAGTCGAAATTTATGATTCAAGAAAAACAAACGAATTGTGTTCTTTTCTTTTCGATATTATAAAAACATCGTGTTTTAAAACGGAAGCATATTCAAAAATGGAATCGTAAGCTTCCAACGTATTTTTAATTAAGTTATCTTAGAAACATTTTAGAAGAGAAATTCCGTAAACTTCCATAAGTTTCTGATTCCAATTCCGGTTTCAAAGTGGGAAGCGGACGTCCAATGAAGTTTCTATGCAACCTAGAAATCGAATCATATAAAATAATCCAAATAAATCATCTATTAATTAGTTTTATTCGATCCATCACCTCCGCACGTTCTACTATTCACAATAAAAATCAAGAACCACTCTCTAATTTTGGTGGGTGTTCTAAAAAGGAAAGTTAGGTCTAATAAACATACAAAAGACCTATATTCACTATCTACCCAAAATCTCTCTTTTTGCTCAAGTTTCACGCTATTCCTTTCCGTTCTTGACATTGTCGTATCGTGAGAAAGAGAGACAAACTCAACCCTAATTTTAATTCTCACCCAAATTGATTTCTTATTTAAATTGAGCCGAGTCTGATGTTTATGAATCAGGTCAGGTTTTGGTTACTGGGAAGCATTTCTTACAAAATCTGATTTCCAAATCCATAATTACGTTTTTAGAAATTGAATTAGAGAGGGGGATTCGGCACAATTAAAAAGAATGAAGGGAGTTGTAAAAAGATTTTATAATCTGGGTGGTTTTGTGAGGAGCAAGGTAATATAGATGGAAATAGATAGGATTGTGGTGTTTACATGGCCCATCCTATCATTATATCTACTAGAGTCTTTCTCCGCGCTACGCGCGGACGTGAATAAATAGTTTAGATTAGAATCATAATTTTCAATACTATTTTTGGTTTGAGAAAATTATATTTTAAAAAGATATATATAAAAAAAAACTTGGTGATTATTGAGTGTTTGTACTTTTCTATAAATAATGAGAATAGTTTAAATGATCATAAATAATGTAAGAAAGAGATAATGTATTTTGAAAAAAAGAAGAGTATTAGCGCTAATGTGTACCATATGAGAGAAATAACCTAGAAATAGTAAAGATTATGTTAGTTAACTCAAATTGAAAAAGATATCAAAACATCTTACTTTAAATAGAAAAGATACATATCCGGCCTACCTGGGTAGAGACTATGTATAAGTCATTCTTTATGTGATCGTACTTTCCTTTGATTGATATGTTGCGCATTGTAAATCTGTTGAATGATGGAAGCTTATAAGACCATACTTTTATCAATACTTAATTTTTTAATATGAAATTCTAAAATTGAAACATTAATTTTTAACATATTTTTTAAAAATAGGTTTATTTAAGAGTATTATAGAAAAAAAGAATGTTTGACAAAAATAACAAACTTATGTGATGCTATAAACCAAGTTGATTGGGTTCCACAAAATATTATCTTTTGTTTCTTTCATTATCTTTTTTTGGTAGTAAGAAGTATCCGAGAAATAAAGGATCACCACTGGATTTTAACTTGACTTGGTACTGGCAGATTTTTATACCCAAATACACAACCTAGAACAATCCATCTGTATATAACTCACTCGTGAAGAATATAAATTTAAAAAAGTCTAAGAGATTTTTAAGGAAAATATCTTATTTAAAATCTTGTGAGATATTCTTAAACGCTTATCATATATATCATAAACTTTTTTTTTAATATTTGAAAAATGAGGATGATCTTAGATATAACATGCTTATATTAGAAAGGATGAATGTCATTGGTTCAAAGCATCCTTTCTACACAGTTTTTAGTGTTATTCGGATATTGTAAGTTTTTGACCATAAATAAATTATAATATTTTAATAGATTTTTTTTCTTTCAGAAATTCATGTTAAAATTTGATTTTAATTTTAATTTTTTTTGCAGAGATTCTCCTATTAAAGTAATATTATTATTATTTTAGATTATACAAAGCTTCAGATTTAGGATGATGATGTTTACTCTTCCTTGTTGTTGATCAACCCATGGACACATTTGCTTTGATTGTTTTTGTTCAAAGTTATTACAGAACTCGTTGTCACTGCCTCCTTCACGCTGCAGCGTTTCTAGTGGGACGTTTTGTTGCGGCTAGAAAGTGCAAGTAATCGAAATTTTAATCACTGTATACAGTAAACAACAGGCTTTACTTGATGGGCCATTTGCATCAGGAAATGGTAAGCTTGTGGTATAAAGGGGTTGCTCTTGCTGATCACAAGGAATAGTCAGCTGTGTCACTGCAAAACATAGAGACATAAGGAACTTCTGGAAGCCAGAAAGTGCAAGAATCGAATATCCAATCACTGTATAATAAATAGTCTAAAATTTTGGTAAAGGCTCTACCTGATGGACCATTTGCATATGGCATTGGTAAGCTTGAAGCACAAAGGAGTTGTTGAAATAGCTGATCATTAGGCATCTGCCACTGAACAACTGAAAAAAAATATAGACATAGTCTTGGGAGATTAAAAAAGAATGCAAAAAATCTATTTCTCAATTACTGAGTAACAATATCAAAGTTTGTATGGCTTTACTTGATGGAACATTTGGATTAGGCATTGAAAAGCTTGCAGAGTTAAAGACTTGATCATAAGGGTTCTGTGTCTGTGCATCTGTAGAAAAAGAGAGAGACATAAGGAAGTATATTAGGAGGTAAAAAAAGCAAGAAACCGAACTTTAAGGCATTGAGTTTAGTACCAAAGTTTTGCCAGGCTTTACATGATATACCACTTGCATATGGCTGGATTAAGGACATGATCTTGGTGATCATAAGGATTTTGAGACTGCAACTACAGAAAAGAGAAAGACAATATTTGGAGGTAAACAATGCAAGAAACCGAACTTTGAAACACTGAGTATAGTACCAAAGCTTGTGAGGCTTTCACCTGCTTGACCATTTTCATAAGGCAATGCTGAGCATACATCATTCAGTTTTCTCTTGTAAGCTACACAATGCAAATAGATTTCAAAAGATTGATTAGAGAGTTTTTACATGTTGATTTACCTAATGTCTCCAGAAGATGAACTCTTGCAGGATGTTGATGAATAAGAGTTGTAATTTGTCAATTTGTTCTTTAATGCATGTGAATATCGCTTGAGTTGGCTTGTTAGGTTGTGAAAATGATTAATGAGGTTTATGTTTAAATTTCAGGATAAAATTTTGAGTAATTTATGTATGATTTGAATTTATCAGCGATTATCTACTTTGTGAATTTTTGTTGATTAACACTTTTTGTGAAATTATTTGTTATTAATATATTCTCTTATTGTAAAGATTTATGATATTGTGGAGTTTTTTTTAAAACCTAAATCTAAAGTTATCATTATCATAAATGAAATCAGCTAACCACACATTTAACCAAAATCAACATGTGAGTCAAATATCACTCAAATTCTCCTAAGGAGTGACTTTACTCTTTCAAATGAGAGATCAACTGTAGTACTTAAGGATCGAATCTACAAGGAGTTAGGGAACCAATTAAATCTAATCAAGTAATAATGCTAGGTTGGTTTAAAAATAAAATTGCAGTAATGAAGTAAACAAAAAATAGTAAATATCCTAATTGAGCAAAACAATTACTCCACTGAATAGAATGAAGGTTGAGCTAAAATGGAAAGGTGTTAGACTTAGAGTTTTTATTCAGGTGTTGGAGATTATAATCCTATAGATGCTAATTAGTTGTTTGTATGGTTCTAAAGAGATTAACCTCTAAATAACAAGTTCATTAGGCTCTCGCTTACTGAATAAGTCTATTAACTAGATCTTTATTGACCCAAACAATAATGTCCGATCAATAACAATGTCGATCGATACTTAATATGAATATCAATCGATACACTTTACTCGACGTCGATCGATTTCTAATGGAAATATCTATCGATCCAGCTAGTTAAGCTTTATGCACGAGTTAATCTATACTCACTATGGATCCCTAGATCAAGATCTTACCATGTTTCTAGTAAAATCCTAGTGTAATAGGATGGATTTAAGATAATCAGAATTGCTTAAAGGTTGCTTAAACAATCTAAAACTTCTAGGTTCATGTTTCTAGTTAACAGGTTTAGAACATCCTATTAATGAATACCACAACAAGCGATCCTATAGTTGGGGCTAATCCCACTAACCTATTTAAAGCCTAACTCTAGCAAGTGAATTACTCAGACATAGCTAAACAAATCATAACACAAGCAAGGTAATTAAACTGCATATATATAGATAGGTAGAAAACAATGAAGTTCCAATCACAAATCCCTTTGGATCTTCTCTCCCAAACTAAAAATCTAAAAACATTTTTTCTGTGTAGAAAGAATAAAAGAAATCTCTCATTTGCCTAAAACACATTGGCAAAGTGTAAATACTTAGGTTGAAACTCGTCAGGGGCATAATTTTAATTTGGTGAAGTCTTGAGTTTCAAGTCAATTGCTTCGCGAATTGGTCTTCCGGGCCTTTGGCATCGATCGATACGGCATTAAGCTTATCGATCGATGGTTATCATTTCGTGTCGAACACGTTGTGTTGTCAATATCCAAATCGGGTGATTTCTCCAATTCTCTCTAAAATGCTCCGAGAACATCACTTTCTTCCAAAATACTTATGAACCTATAAATATGCTTAAAGCTTCTATAATATAATAAATAGTTATAAAACCATCAATATACCATGACTAAAAGTGTGTCAAAATCATGGTATATCAGAGTCCAAAATCAACGTGGGAGTCCAAATATGACGTGATAATTATCATTATCATAAACAAAGTAAGCTAACCAAAAACCAAGAACGGATACTTGCAAATGAGAGAGTAAGCAAACTAAATACCAATAAAGTATACTTGCAGATGTGAGAGTCTTTTTGCTCTTGTGCTC